CATGCAAAGTAAAATTTATCAAGATTTCCCTGTGAAGGTGAATGCTGTTGACATCCAAACTATCAAGAAAAAAAAACTTAGTAATGTAAGAAGGACTGGATAGCTTTTCTTGTCTTTTAAAGAAAATATTATATATGAAAGGCAAACAAAGGGTAAAGAACCAAAAAAGAACCGAAAAATATTACAGAGGTGTGTCAGGGAGTAAATTAATGAAAGATTATGCTTTTTACCTGGAACTCAAAATATTTATTATATGTATCCTCTTGTTAATATTTATAATTTGGTATAATTACTTCTCATTCTAAATAAGTACTATTCATTTTCAGCCTAATTCCATTTATAAAATTCAACAAGGAATGTTTGTTTTTTGAGACAGGGTCTTACTATGTAGAAAAGGCTAGCCTTGAACTCACTATGTAGCAGAGGCTGGCCTCGAACTCACAGTGATCCTCCTGCCTCAGCCTCCAGATTGCTGGGATTACAGGTGTGAGCTGCCACACCCAGTGTCACCAAGTAAATTTAAACCACACTGATTTAGACAAATCATAAGCCAAGCACTATGTACAGTGTGAAGTAGGAATTGTTTTTTGTTGTTTTTTTTTGCCCTGTCCATCTCTGAGGCCATTGTGACTGAGAAACTGCTTTCAAGGTATTCGATTTCTTAACCTCGGTAGAGTCATGTGGATGTTGATGCTATCAGCACTTTTCAAACTGTGCTTATAAAAACTATACATATGCATTCTGTACATATATTACATTTCACATTATATGTTTGTACAAATCATACTTAATGAAATTATAAAAAGAAAATTAACATAGGGATTAAGCAGAAAAGGAATGACTCAATAAGATTGCAAAACAGTATGGCCCTATTACAAGAATAAAAATAACTAAAATCAACTCTAGCTGATGAAAGTTGTTTCCCATGAGTTAGCAACTCTGATACCTCTATATATGTCAAAGGGACTTGAACAGTTAAGTAAATGGATGGTGGGCAGTGGCAGTGGGATTTTTAATATAGCTATGGCTGATTGTGCATAGGAATGTTCACATACGCATGTGAATGTTTATACATGGATTAGAAGGCATCCATGTATTTCTTTGCTTTGTCAGCTGAGAAGGCCTAAAATAACACTCTAGAAAGCAATGAGCAAACCTAGTACCCAGATCGAAGTTTCTAATCCCATTCTCCCATAGAAGGAACTATGGCTCAATAGATAAATGACTATCTCTAGAACTAGGGGAGGGAATACATAAGATGAGGCAGGGGCATCTTTGATGCAAGAGTAAAGAAGTGGTAGGAAAAAAACAGGAAAGCCCACATTGACAGGGGGCTTCGTCAAAGGAGCCAACTGAAAGAAGTCCCAGCAGCCAAAGCTGGGACAATGTGAGCAACAAAATAAACTAGCATTTAACTGTAATTCAGTGTATAAAATAAATATTCATGAGTCAACACTGATGGTAATAAATGAAGGAATAAAGTTAAGGGGGAGAAAAGACAAAAAATTCCAAGTCATTTATGTAGATACTTCACCTTAAAGGAAGGAGAACAGAACACAGCACTCTTCTGAATGTGTGAGCTGCACACAGGACTTTCTTCCAGAGTTATACACAGAAAGGGTAGAAAAAGAGTACAAAAATAGGCAAACCCAACAGTACTTTAGCCAGCTGATCAACGTCAACACCAAGGGTCACAAATCAAGTTGACAGTACGTATCTTTAAGATGATCCGATGACAGTGGCACTTTGCCTCTGTGACTTTACTCCCCAAAACACATAACCCTAGTCTCTGTGTGAGAAAAACATCAGACAAATTCAAACAGAGGAGAATCCTACAGTATACCTGACCAGTACTCCTCAAAACTGTCAAGGTCCTCCACGTTAAGGAAAACCAGAGAAACCACGACAACTGAAGGGAATATGGTGTTCCAAATGAGAGCCTAGAACCCAAAATGAGACATTAGAGAAAAACTAAGAAAATCTGAATCAAATACAGATTTCAGTGACTATCAATGTATCAACACTCAGCAACTGAAACAAATTTATCACACTAAACAGGTAAGATATTAATAAAGGACACTAAGAGTGAGATCTATTGGGACTCTGTACTATCTTTGCAATTTTTCTATAATTCTAAAATTGAGATAAAAATTCATCTACTGAACGGTTTTTAAGACAAAATCAACAGATCATGACAACCAGAGGCATATGAGATGCTGGTGCAGGACCGAGGAGGAACTACTGATTTATGTGACAAGAGTGGAATACTGAGCAAGACATTCTGAGGCAACTGACAAGCCATGCAGGAAAACAAAATTAGGTAAAATTAGATTTGATCACTGCCTCCCTCCACATGCCAACTGCAGTTAGGTTAAAATTCCAAATGTGTAAAAACAAATCTTCAAAACTATTAGAAGAAATCTTAAGAGAGTATCTCTTATCATCTTGAGGTAAGAAAAACCTGTTTAAGCAGAAGAAAAAATGCAATAACCAAAGACTGATTTGACTACATAAAAGCTTTTAACTCTATAAAATAAAAAATATTATTTAAAGAGGGGAGGACAGATGGCTGATCAGAGGAAATGATGTTCAACTTATAAGGCCCAAAGAATATAGAAAATAACAAATGAAGAAATTCCAGAAATAAATTAGCAATGATCAACAGTAGAAAGATGGAGAAGGCATATGAACAGGTAAGTCACAGGGGAATAAACGGCTATTAAACAAATAGAAATATTTCTTTCTGTCTCTCTCTCTCTGTCTCTTTCTCGCTCCCTGTCTCTCTCTGTCTCTCTCATCTCTCTCTCCCTGTCTCTGACTCTTTCTGTCTCTGTCTCTCTCTCTGTCTCTGTCTGTCTGTCTCTCTCTCTCTGTTGGGGATCAAAGCCAGGGCTTTACACAGGCTAAGCATGTGCTCCCCCACTGAGCTACACTCCAGACTATATAAGTGTTTAATGCACAAAAAGCTCATCAAGGATACTTTTCGAACTGAGAAAGAAACTACTGGAAAGGAGAATTTTTTCATGTCACACTTGTCTAATCAAATTTTTTTCCATATCATGGGCCTCTGTCTGTCTAAATTCTATTCTGCTGGAGACCTGATGATGGGTCAATAGCAACAATATTGCTAAGCCATGCTGGCCGCTTATGATAAAAAATTGCCCCAGGCTAGTCAACCATCTCTGACCCAGGAGGACCTAGGAAGGGACTAGAGACATCTGATGCAAACACCATGCTTTGGAGATTCTATAAGTGCCTAGTCCTTGCAAGGGGCACATTTGTGCCTGACTCAAACCTTGCTGGGACACAAAGTCAAAAAATTCCACAAAGTAAGGTATTAGTCAGGTTGGCACTTCAGATTAGCACTAAGCAAGATGGCTATGTGTGGGCAAGCTCTTTACAAATTCTAAACAGCCTATGCTATTTTTCATAATTGACATCTAACCTGACCCGTAAATCACAAATACCCCATTTTAATCATCCTTTGAGTAATATATAAACAATATTTTACATTCATTTAAACTAACACATTTTTGATGACTAGCAAGGTATGAAACTTATTCATTACACACTGTAGTAAATGTATGGTTCAAATAAATTTTATCTATAATTTCCCAAACCCCTATGGAAAGGTTTTTTTGTTTTGTTTTGTTTGTACCGGAGATCGAACTCAGGTCCTTGCGCTTGGGAGACAGGTGGTGGAACCACTGAACTAAATCCCCGGCCCCACTATGGAAAGTTAAATCATTTATTTTTATGTATAGAACAAAGTGTGGGACTATATAAAAACTAAAAAGAAAAAAATTCAAACATTAACTGGTTTCCAAATTAATGTTTGGGGAAAGAAAACTTTTATATAATTTAACAATCAGAATTCCTTCCTGACAAAAACTAATCCTCAATGCAAATCTCAGTGAAAAAATCATTCTTGATGGATAAAGACGAGATAAAACTTGACAAAATAGTATGGATATGGCTGAAAATAGTAAAGAGTAGTGTTTGCAAATACTGCAAAAGAAAATAGCAATGTAACATAAGACAACTCAAAATTAGTCTTTCAGTTCTTTTGGAAAATATGGTACCAGTGACTGGAATGGTCCAATCCGAGATCACTACCTCTGCCAGGTAAAGAATGGGACCAGTAGAACCCAATTCAGCAGGGGCAGCTTAGCATGGAGGATTTTCTTTTCAGTCACCCTATGTCACCACTTCTTTTGAAAGATCATAAAATTGCATTGCACAACCCCAACCTACACACTTTCTTTCTTTCCTTCTTTTTGTGCTGAGAATTAAACCCAGCAGCTCACACATGCTAAGCACATGTTCTACCACTAAACTACATCCCCAGCTCCCTCCCAATTCTTAAAGTTGTTAGCGGCATCCAGGAATCCATGCTTGTGAGAAGGGCCGCTTCTGAGGAGCTCAGAAGGACCTCAAAGGGGCACCCACCACCACCTGCATCAGCTCAGAAAGGGAGACTGCACATAGACATGTGCATGGGCTTCTTGCTTTCTTGGAGATGTCTGCACTGTGTATCTCTAAATGTCACAACCAGTAATCAGATGAAAGATGCTTACTAGTATCGGGATAGGTTTCACCTCTGATACCAGGAAAAAAGAAAGCAGAAGGATGGGAGGCGGAGGGTGTTCTCTTCCTTACAGAAAATAAACCAGAGGTCTGAAGCAAAATAGGCCAAAAATTCGTGCCTGTTATTACTTCTTGGTGAAGGGCAGTACGTGCAGGTCTCACGGTATTTGCCAGAATTTTCTGAATGTTACAAATACCTAATTTTTAAAAAATCAAACGCTGGCATTATTCCGCAAGCAAGGCAATACAAGAGCCGTGGCACGCGAAACTCCCGCCTGGGGAAGCAGCAGGTGGTAGAGGCCCTCGCAGCGGTCAGTTCTGGAGGAGGCATCTGAGCTGACCTGAAGGCCGCACCCCGCGAAAGCCAGAGGGCTGGGGCACGGGTAGAAGGACGCGTCCCGAGGCTCGCATACCTGAGTCACCAGCGGAGCCTGTGGACAGGGCCGGCATGCTGCAGGCCGAGGCCGAGGGCGGCCCTCCACACTCCCGACGCACAGAGCTCGGGCAGCTCCAGCTCTGCGTTGCAGCCGCCGTGCCAACCAGGATTCGTATGCTGCGTGGGCTGTTTCTAGAAAGAAAAGAAACACTCGTGTACATATAGAGAGATAGGTAAAAAGAATATCACTAAACTGCAACATTCTGTAACTAATTCGGACTTCTTACTCCAGGAGTACACTGGTGGGGAGATTACAATTCTACAGAATTTCTTCTACAGACAACACGCAGACATTCGACAGAGAGCTTCTGATTTGGATGGGGGATTTCTAATTGAAAACATGACTGCTCCTCATGCACGTGTCAAAGCTTCCTTAAAGATTTTTACATTTGGTTTGGGGGCCGCTGATGGGATGTATGGAGAACTTGAAGAAGCTTCTGTAAGTCAAAGCTATTCTAAAATTCCTTCCCTCTGTTATCATCATTCTAGCTGCATTTCCAAATGTGTAACAGAGACCATATGAATTGTCAGTGACCTAGAACTAATTGTGCTTTTTAAAGAGCTCATTCTAATGTGACGTTACAAAGTTCTCTAACTGAAAACTGCAAAAATAATCTTGAAAGAATTTTTGCTAACACTGAAGCAAACTATTATTATAGGCTTACAGAAGTTGTAATCTAAACTAAACCTAAGGATCCAAGCTAATAAGTAAATTCTTTTAGTGAAAATCAAGCTTCAATGGATGTTGGAAAGTATCGACTTTTTTTTAAAAAACCAACATAAATTTATCCCAAAACAAGCAGTATTGAAGAATAGCTGAGCACAAGGGCTCGAGAGTTTGGCTTAACGTCTAATCCTGTTCAATCTATGATCAGGGACAAGATATTCAATCTTATTAAGCCTTAATTTCCATATACATATTAAATGAAGATAATAATTTAGAACTATTTGATAATTAGGCTAAAGCATAAATTACAGCCTCTTGCATAAAGTCCGCACACAATGAAAGCTGGCTATATGGCAGGGTTTTTTAATTCAGGCAGTACAATTATAAAATTAAAACATAAAAGTAAGTAGCAAGATTAAAATTTACATTGGCCTAACACTTAGAAGGAGACCATGTGGTTTAAATTTAGATCACTAGTATCTAATAATGGAAAATATACTCTATCTACATTTTTGTAGAAATCAGAACTACATGATATGTTGAAATTTAATTTTTAATGAACTTCCCCAATTCTCTACCCTGCAAATTCACCATTTAAAAGTATGATTTGACATATATTAAGGACAACATGAAAAACAGATACTGTAAACACCAGAAAAACTGGCTCGTTTTAATTCTTGACACATTTAAATTGCTGATTCATATTACAGAATAAAGCAAAATGAGCATCCCAAATTTTACTTGAATAAAAATCCAACTCCAAAATTTCATTAAAGCCTTCTAAAGTAGCTTTTTAATTGTCAAAGTAAAGTTGGTATAAAAAAAAATCACCCTCAGATAGACGTTCGTGGACTAGCTGTCTGCTGCAGCGTCTTGAAATCTGCTTCACATTATCACAAAGGCGGACACAGTAAAAACATGCATAGAAATCCATACATAGAAGAGTGCTGATTAAAAATATGAGGGCAGTTCTTTTAAATACCAAATGAAAACATAAGTTGCTAAGCTAAAAATTAAAAATGAGAGAAAAAGACAAAGGCAAGATTTCATCAATGTCTAGTTCAGAAGCTGTTTTCCCCAATAATTTAAAAAGCCAGGGGCTGGGGATTTGCAAGGACTCGAGTTCGATCCCCGGTACCAAAAAAAATAAAAAATTAAAATTAAAAAAATTAAAAGCCAACTTTGCTCTCATTTCACAAACTAATTAGCATTAAAATTCAACTATAAAAATATTCCTTATAAAAACAAAAGTAGAATGGTTCATACACAAATAAAGCCCCTCCAAAATAGATATAATTTGAATAATGCACTCAATGAACAGATTTGTTTTGGTGATATTAAAAAAAAGAAAACCAGTTAAAAGTTGTGAAGTATATGCACATACATTCTTACCATTAGGGCAATATATACCTACATACATACATGGGCAGCCACTTACATGTACGTATGCAATTTGGGTCTTTATGTCATGAGAAAAATCAGAATTTACATGGTACAGATTACCCCTATATGTATAAAATATATATATGAAAATGCAATCTGCCAATTCCTTAAGGGCTTAAACAATTTATGTTTCTTCTTTTATAAAGCACATCATGTACAGCAATTACACTTACAGCAAACAAAATTATAATCTGATGCAATCTGGTGCCTTCTCATTCTATGAATACTTACAAAAATTTTACATTCTACATCAAAATATACTTTTGAGCTGATATTGCAACATGAAAGGACTCGGCATTTCTCAATTTTTATTTCATAATAAACATCCAAGGTTAAATTTGCCCAAAGCTGTATACTTACTACAATGTAATTATTTTTTTGTATACTCCAAAGTAATTACGTACTGAGAACATACACATATACTGTATAGGTATATGAATTTTTTTAATGGTTTAATAGAAACACCAACCAGTAAAATACTTAAGATTTTGTGGAACAAAGTAGCATTGCTCGGTTTAACTTTCCAATTGAGTTAAATTTTTGTGTAATAATGTTATTTTCTTTGGCTAAATTTATTGAAAATGCTTTGGAATTTTTCAGAACCCAGCCATAATTATTACTGACTGTTGTATGGAATCGATTTACTACAACACAAAAATACCAGCTGTTACAGTATGTCCTGAGAGGGATTACTGAATATTCTTAAATTGAAGTTCAATCCATCTTTCCATAAAAAGAGAGAAAGACCCAAACGCCAGGAACATAACAGCAGTATCAAGTGCACCTGAAGCATTTACAATACCCAATAGTACTATTACGACCCTCCTTTAAAAAGGCTTATTTTTGAAATTTCATTATTCCAGTTGTTCCTTGCTTCCATATATCACACTGTATCAGGTTTTTCTGGCATTGATCACGTGGAAACAGTGAAATATATGAAAGTCTATGAGCTTACAATGTTCAATTTCTACCAGCCTTGACTCGACGCTTCTGGGGCTCTCATGACACCTAGTGGTCAACAGCAGAAATAAAAGTACCGGGGACAAGAAGGCTTTTGAATTTTCAGTAAAGCAAAAACTGACTTTACCCCAGCGAGTGAGTCACCCGCAAAATTTTTTTATTAATGTGCAGACACTCTCGGTTAATGCAAATGACCAAGAAATCAAGTAATTTAAAAACACATTTCCTTTCTATTTGGGGTAGTGTTTAAGAACACGAAAACCTGGGCCGGGGATTTAGCTCAGTGGTTTTGCTGCCTGCTGCGCAAGCGCAAGGACCCGAGTTTGATTCCCGGTACCAAAAAAAAAAAAAGGATATGAAAACCTTTAACTGTCATCACAAAGTAACAATTATATTAACAGCTTATGCTATGTTCAGTATGCCAACTGAAGATCATTTTGCCATACACAAGAGTAAATTTTTAAATATAAATCTAATATAATTGTAAAAGCTTAATTTGAAAGATTCATTAGTATATTAGCCAATGCAAGGAGCAGCTGCTATCTGTTAACACTGTTTGAATCTTCATAAATTATATGCATAAGAATATGAAGAAGTCACCATAGACCTCAGCGGCATAAAGCTGATTACATAAAACAGTGTTTATATCTTTTCCACTTGCAGGTCTCAAAAGGAGAGGTCTATAGACTCCTAGTGGCCTCCAATACCTTTCAAGGGGGTTCATAAGGTCAAATTATTTTCAGAAAATCCTGAGGTGTTATTTGTCTAGCCACCAGTGGTGAGAATCAATGGGGTGTCAGACCACTGGCACCTCGGCGTGAATCAAGAAAACGGCACCAACGTGAATCTCTTCCCTGTGGTATCTGTGACTGCCAAGCATGGAGGGTTACACTTTACAATGCCTTAAGGACAGTAAACACTAACAGCTGACGGACTCCTGGCTGCCCATCTTACCATGGTCTCTGGGTTAAGATGGAAAGTACAGATAAATGCTGCTCCTGGGAACAAAGCAGGGGCCAGCTCAAAGAACACACTTGTGCAGTGATTTGAGTTGTGAATGAATCAGATGCCAGCTCGGGGGAGCACCGTTTTTACTTAAAAGAACAAATGAAAGATGTATTTCAGGCCTGGGTATTTGGCAAACATTTTCTTGAAAATGAATGAAGTCAGTCTGTGACTTTAAGAGCTACTGATATTATGTGTTGTTAATGATAAAACATGAGCGTTTGAGCAAAAAACAGAATTTTAGGAAGCTGGCATCCATTAGAGGCTGCCCCTCACCCCCTGTGCATGGTTCTAAGTTAACCAAGACGCATGTAAAGGGAAACCCAATCCCTGCCCTGCCTGCTATCAGCTTTCCCATACTGAGCTTTCCTAAGATCTGTGGTGATGCTAACAACTGATTTTTTGATATTGTGCCAGTATGTGGAAGACTTGCATAAGTCGGGAACCAATATTTTCCAATTTTCTAATATATTACAAGAAAATGAATAACATTCAAAGCATACAACAGAATGATAGATTTAAAGTTCCAACGCAGTAAGTTTACTGACGTATTTTCTGTTTACTGATATATTTTCTAATTCTACACAACTAACTCACTTTCAAGAAATGGCCACATGTCCTGTTCTGGTGTAACAGCAAAGAATACAGTATCCACAAAGAACTGAACAAGCTAGTAAAATACTACTGCAGTTCTACTACTAGATACTACTACTACTAGATAATACTACTACTGCCAGATTTCTCTATATCTTTTCAACAAAAGAAATAGAATAACTTGAAAGTAGATGAAGATATGTGAAAATAAATGTCTCCTGTCATGATAGGAATTAAATAATTTTGCAAGTCACTGTTTTTGTTTGGGAGAAATAAAGGTTTTTTAAAATGTTATTTGTGCTAGCAAGTAACAAGTTTAATATTGTTTTTAAATAAACTGAATTTTTAATGACTTTTAGTTTTCCAATATATTAGATACTGATCAATATAACTCACATTATCAAAAGTCTTTAGCGTTTTCAACAGTTTTAGAGAACGTGGAAGATCTGGAAAGCAGAGTACT